TTTCTCCCTTTCACTTTTTCGGTGCACCATGACTCCTCTATTGACAAAAATAATTTACTTACTTTTACAAACAATTTCAATGGGTACTCCATTGTTTTATTTGAGTCCAATACTGACTGTTTATATGCATACAGTTATACATGAATATTAATGTTCATAGCACCGTTATAAGTCTCATCAGTAGGACTTACAGTCAACGTGAGCTACAGATTAATTAATATTGGTGAAATGTAGATTCAGTCAAAATCGTCTGTTCTTCTCCATGCTATCATAGAGATTTGTGTGATATTTTCTAGAGGGGGGACTTACATAGATTATTTCAATTAAAGGTCCAGGTTTGGGATTTGTAACCTATCCAGAAACCCTGGCACACCTTCCTCTCCCTCAGCTGTGGTCCTTCCTGTTCTTTCTGATGTTGCTGACAGTTGGTCTGGATTCACAGGTACTGTCTTCATGTGCCCATGGACGTGTTTAATACTGAATAATAATAAAGGCCTGATGACTTACAAACCAACATTTCATAACCAACAGTGAAACAAAATTCCAGAGTATAATCAATGCTTTTAGACTGATGGAAAAAATGTCATTGTAATTAGCAAGATGTACAATGAACTGATGTTGGTTTTTTCAGTTCATGGGTGTTGAAGTCGTTGTTACTGCCCTTGTTGATCAGTATCCTCAGCAGTTGGGCAAGAGAAGGATCCTCGTAACTGGAGGATACTGCATCATAGCATTTCTTCTTGGAATCGTATTCTGCACACAGGTACACAGTATTGTCAAGATGCAATCTCTCCAATATATAACAGGCATAGATGACCACAATATTTTCCAAATATATTCCAAGCTGCACAGCTGCATGAGAATACAGTGCTCGTGTAATTACTGACAAAGGTCACAAATTTGCAATCATCCATGGAATGTCTGCGTTGTTTTCTGGGAACATTCATGGCATAAACTGTCATATTTTTTTAATAATGCATAAAATACTCACATGGCCACCACGATCACTAGATCGTAATTCAACTGACCAGTAATGTGAAGGCTTAAACAGGATGAACATCTTGTACCCGTATCTTCACGGGTCAGTAATAGTAGTAGTAGTAGCTTCCCAAATAGATTTTCTTGTCTGGGTGGAAAGTGATCTTCAAACAACTGCTGGTGTTGATTCTATATGAGATATAACGTGAAGGGATCAAGACAAGTGTGGCCCTTCATTGATATTCTTCACAAAATAATATACACTTGCTTTGTACTGCAGGGAGGTCCGTACATGTTTCAGCTGGTAGACTGGTATGTATTCTCCCTCGGACCAATGGTGATCTGTATACTGGAGTGTGCTGCTGTGGCATGGATCTATGGTGTGTATAACAATACAATATTTGCATACAAACCCTGAAGCATATATCGGCATGTAAAGATAATTCTGACGTTTTCAATCATTAACTCAAGAGTCTCCTTGGTCCTTAGTATGGTGACGTCGTGCTTCGCTGCGTATTAATACGTGCAAACATCGCTCACACCATTGTATTGTTACGTCGTCAGCTGTGATGACGTCATTCAAATCATATTGTGACGTAAAGTCTGAATGACGTCACAAATGAGCAGTTCCAGATGCTACCATGGGAGACATCAGTTCCAAATCAGTTCCCGTGCTTTAAATACTCAATAAGACCCGGAAATTGGCCAACACATGATGTTTATCTCCTAAATGCCGAGCGCCAGGCAGGGACCAACAAGTACCATATTTTAACGTCTTTTGGTATGACGCGGTCGGGGATCGAGCCCGCGACCTTCCGCTCTCCGGGCGGACGCTCTAGATAACCACTACACCACGGAGGCGGTCTTGGTGGTAGTGCTCCTTTCTGGATCAGGTCTTAAAAACCTTTCAATATTCTCCTTCCACTTTGCTATATACACTATATAAACCATTTGACATAATCATAAGTAGTCGACATATTCATAAAGAGTGTTTTGCCGTTGTGGGGAATATTGATGACTTTGTCTCCCTGTTATATTTTTAATGAAAATGGAAGCTAACACGTGAATAATATCCAGATAAACTGAGGCATGTTTTTTTCCATTTGTAAATATATTATACTCCTCCGTATGTCTTGTACATTTCAAAATTATACAAAATATTTTCAGATGATATCTATGGTAACAGTTGCCTCCGTTTGGTGACATGACGTAACACCGGGAACTACCTCCATGTTCGAATCATGAATAACACCCGAGAACATAGTTTGAAAGCTCTGAACATCAATAATATCACCATAATCTTGCCTGGAGTATTTGCAAGTTGTAAGAAGCGACTTAATTGGATCAAGAATGGTTTCTAATTACGCTTTCTATTTTATAAAGATCGTGATGGGACAATATCGTGCACGTGACCTAAGGCTGCGAAATTTTCAGCTTCACACGAACGTGTTTATGTAAAATCGTGTTATTCTGAGCATGAAAAACGTCTCATGCATATATTGTCGCATTAAACATCGTGTACCAGCGTGAAGATCGAGGTGACGACTTACATTACATGATCGCACGAAAATATGGAAATGAGTACTTTTGGTGATTTTATTCATAAGATATCATGATTTTCTCGAAACATCGTAATTTTTCTCGTTGAAAATTTAAATGTGGACCTGTTGCCGAAGCCCATGTCCGATAATTGTTTATAATAACATTGTGAAATTTGTCGTGTTTTCAGACATTGTGAAAAGTGATATTAATTTAATAAATGGATCAGGTGCGGGGTAGGTTCATGTTGACGTGACTACTGCCTTGCCGGTTATCCGACTTCCATTGTCAGGGAACTCATCACATTGTGACCGATTATCGAGCCTGTGGCGTAGAATGGGTTAATTTCTCCAATCTGGAATTGCAAGCCCAGTGGGTATCCCGGTAAGGGTCCAAGGTAAACTAGGCCGGTCGTAGAAGGCGACATAGTGGTTGGTGTGGTTACCTTAGTGACTGTGGAGTGTCAGTGTATCATAATGGGCATTCCTAATATCAGTCACTGGGTTGTCACGTCCAGATTGGAATGTATTTATATGACACCCTAATACTGAGTGCAACGATATAAATCGAACACATGAAACAAATTATTAAATCACACAGCTGAGCTCCTGAATCATCAACAGGTGGCTGAAAAGGGCAATCGCTTTCTCGCGGCCGAATTTTAAGGCTAGAAAGCGATGGTCCTTTTCAGCCACCATACATCAAAGTGAGCATACGTTTGTGCCAGGTATACGTCGGATCAGTAGCGACGCTGAGATGATGTTTGGAAAGCAATTGGCGATGCCTGTAAAGATCCTCTGGGCATTCGTAACACCGGCAGTTCTAATGGTAAGTACAGTTAAATAGTGTTATCGAATACACTGCATACTGTTCATGACGCTCCACATGATATTTCTCATCTCAATGCCATACACCATTAGTATACGAGGTGTGAAAGTAACACCATGGGTTACCAAAGCTGGTCGACAAAATCATTTCACCGCTCTCCAATCAGCATGTTTGCCCAGCCAACACTAAACTTGGCCCAGCACCAATTCTAATATCTGTCCACTTCAATGGAAATACATCCCACAATATTCACCTTTATAAGGAGAAACAGCTCCCCCCCCCCCCTCCCCCCAAAACAAAAGAAAAAGAAAAAGAAACTTCACCAGCTCTACACCTCTTAAATTCTTTGAATACCCAAGAGACCCTAAGGTGCACAACTTGAGTGGCTTCAGGTGAAACTTAGTACCTGACAGAATAAAAGAGCTACCTACATGTCAGATCGAAAATAATTCACTTGTCCTGATGAATTAATAAGACACCAGAGTATCCCAGATATTCAGACCTAGTCCGAATGGTTGCATTATAACAGAATCCAGCACTTATCCATAAACAACCTGTCCATTACTGGTCAATGAATGTTATCAATTATAATAGGAATTCCTTCCAATAGTTCTCATCAACAATGGTGGAACCCGCAGTTGGGATCTTTCAACAAACAAACATTAGAGAAACATCTTGAAATACGTCAGTGCTGATTACTACAGTGTACAACTGCATCTAACTATATGTAAGTGACAAATCCGTTACCAGTTTCAAGAAACGAGAAGCATGTGTACAGTACACAACCCTGTGCACTTAAAAAAAACACAAATCCGTTGGTAGATGACCAGATGGTGGCCACATGAATACGTGCAAACACCTAGTTGCGGGTACAGCAACGTGCAGTGAACTTCGACAAAATACTGTGACTATGTGTCCCAGTCCACCCAGCTGTGAATGGGTACCTCGTTAGGATGAGAAAGTCACAATAACTCGGTGTGCCTAGTGGCTGCAAGAGTTGTATACTCCCCAGGGGGGTTCAGATTGATAATACGATGTGCCATTGAGATTGACATCCAATGATCGAGGGAAAAAATATCAGCGCCTTGAGCAAGCACTAGTTGGATGGATATGTGCGCTATGTAAGTATCCTATAATAATTTTACGTTCCCATTAACATAAGCATACGTTAATGAATAACTATAGTCCGTTTGTTTAAAAAAATTGTTTAACAGACTATCATTATTTTGTTGCCACTTTTCGCTTTTTCTTACGAGTGAGGACCACTTGCTGGTATAACAACCAGGTGTGCAAGGTGTACGTGTGAAACTGAAATTTCACTGCTCACGCTTGTTCATTCGTTTATAAACAACTTTTGTATTCGCGTGTCCAGATTTATGAGACAAATCATCAGAGTTGGTCTGTCGATTTCATGTGACTGTGCAAAGTTTGATTTTGTTGCATTTATTAGATTTTGTGTTAGTGAGCAATTCATCGGTCTCAAATGAAGTCAAACTGACTGTATAACATAGAGACCTCTTCTTTTTCATGTCGCCTCTTCATATCAACGTCTTACGTTCAGACTGCTTTCATCTTCACGCTTCTTCGCTACCAACCACCAACCTACGGCACGTACGTGTATCCTAGCTACGCCTCTACAATCGGCTGGATCCTTGCAGTGCTGCCTCTTCTACCGATACCCGTCTATATGGTCCTGACTGTCAGGAAGCATATGGCGACCAATTCCCTAAAGAAGGTATGTACGCTTCTCCATATTTCACAGTTCATACTTCTTCTAGATATGATGTATTGATATGGTGTTAGTTATAATATTGGGCGTGGCATACGAATTAAAAAGTCTTTGGACTATAAGGCACCAACGCACGAAAATGACCAGTCCTCATTATCCACCATAGTGTGCTTTTTTCTGTGAGGTAGAACTTGGGCGGTACTGGTGCGTTTGGACGGTACGGGGCGATAGCCTAATGGGTATTCAGTAGTTTGTGGCTGGCCTTACTCGTCACGCCAAAGATCTGGGTTCAAAACCCTGTATGTATACATTGTGTGAGTCCCAATTTCTGGTTGTTCTCTACATGGCTGAAATATGGTCGATGCTACGTGACATTTTAACTCATTCATTCATCCCATACGTGGTGTACAACGACGTGATGTTGCTTGAATATTGATGAAGGCATGGAAAATCATACTCGTTCATTCACTTTCAGAGTGGAGTCAATTTTCATATTCAGCCCAAACAGTGCTTTTGCATTTGACGCAGCACAGGTAAATACCGATGGGGTCACAATGACTATCGGGTACTCAGTCCACCATTCTTGATAAAGAATGTGAAAGTAATTTAGTGAGTAATGTTCTCCCCAAGACTAGTCAATACATAAATGCCGATGAAGAATTTAGTATCATGTTTCCTTCCACAGAGTATAAAGATTGCCTTGAGACCTGATGCTGACTGGCGTCCTGCAAACCAAACTCCAGATAAAGAGTCAGAGTGAAGGATCAACAAAAAACTCGACCACCTTTGGAAATCCGTACAAGGATCTCATCAAATAATATCTTATAAAACCAGTGTAGTGACAATGATATACCACACCTAACAGCTATCTGTATTCCGTATTACCATCACATTATTATTAAAATTGATTGTATTATTCATAAGAAACATATTTTGGTCAGTTGTATATGCTCCACTTTATCGTACATATTAAGTACTCTCTGCTTTGTTTTTGGTATCCCTTGGTCTGATTTGTTTTACACTACTTGCTATTGTACATGGCAGATATAAATCACATATCAATATAAAACATTAGCACAGCAGTCGTGTGACTGAATTAATAACCAATCACCTGATTGTTTAGTTTGGCTGACAACGCTTACATGTTTTATGCAAATGTGTTTCCGTAAACACCTGAATGCCGTTGTACAAAGCAACCTTTACTGAGGTCGAGCTTAGTGACCTCAACCCTAGTATAATGATCTACCTTCAGTTGTAGGTGATCGATAGCCCGTTTTGGTTTTTTACTGTCTATAGTGATCCAATGTTATGATAGTGCACTAGTTTTAAATATATATCTGTGATACTCTAGTATTTTTACTGTCCTTCGATGACAGGCGTTTACGTTCTAGGTTTATTTATTTTCATATTGATATAAATTAAATTGCTCTCGTCATGATATGGCTGAAATATTGCAGATGTGACGCTAGATATTAACTCACGCACTTAGTGACTCAGGTAACCTTAAGAAAAAACTACGTCAGTTGAACAAAGCTACCTTTGGTCAACCTTACTTTGGAAGCCGTGAAGATCAAGGTCATAGCTACTGATCTTCAGCAATTCATGCTTGTCCTAAGAGGAAACTAACGGGATCGGATGGTTAGGCTTGCTGACTTGCTTGACACACATCATCGTATCCCATTTGTGTAAAACGATGTTCATGCTGTTGATCACTGGTTGTCTGGTCCAGACTCGATTATTGACTGATCACAGTCATATAGTTAGAATGTTGCCGAGTGCGGCGTTAAACAACAACCAAATTAAAACCTTACGTTGGAAGGATACTTAACTGCTGAGGGCCTGGAAATTGAAGGTTGGGCTTGAATTGCGCCGGATCAACCTACGGCTATAAAATGACACAGGAATGTAGACTGTTAAATTCCTATCCAATGTTATAAATTTAAGTACGAAGGGCTGTATGAAAAAAAGACATTGCTAAGTGTTGACCAATCATTCGGTGGGGTAGCCTAGTGGTTAAAGCGTTGGCTCGTCACGCCGAAGACCCGGGTTCGAATCCCCACATGGGTACAATGTGTGAAGCTCATTTCTGGTGTCCCCCGCGGTGATGTTGCTGGAATATTGCTAAAAGAGGAGTAAAACCAAACTCAGTCAGTCAGTTTACTTATAAACTTAGTTGTGTTGACTAGATGCGTACCATTTTAATATTATGCTTTTTATCCCTGTTTTATTGTGTCTTATAGGCCTAGAGAGGCAGACTCTGTACCAGGATGTAACACACTATAATAAACAATTTTTCTTCTTTCTTCTTCTCTTATATAGAAGCACCACGAATCGTTATGCATGAGTACACATTGCTCTATGTCAATGCCCAAGGTGATGTCCCATATCAGCATCCTCACACGTGCTCATTCTATTCAACTAATGATAGTGCGGATGGATTGCTTTCTTAGTGGCGGTATACCCCAGTGTGCTTGTGACAGTGCATTCATTCTCATCAGGGCAAATAGTGAAACTGGTTACCATCCGATTGTCGCCATGGCCGTCAGATGCTGGCGATCTGTAGCCCGTTTTTATAATGGGTCATATAAAGAAATATTGTTCTGTGGCTACGTGCTAGCTATAAATTTAAAGCTGTGATATTTTACTGTCCTTTATTGATCGTTTATTTATCGTTTTATTAATCTTTTATTAATTCAAAGGTTTGAAATACTGCCGATGTGACTTAAAGGTTTCTCTCACTCACTCACTCACTCGCTGATGGAATTATGTGACAAATATTCGCTTGTTTTGGAATAGTGAGATATTATCATCGACTAAGGTTATTAAAGGCGGCACCGCTCAGTGTGTTAAGGTAGCTTAAAATAATTGTCCAAGTGGACCAATCAAAATCAAAGTATATAGCATCGATTTGGGATTTATTTCTTGACTGATATTTTTAAAATATCGGTTGTAATTGTAAACACTTTCTGGGGACCAAAAGGTTTGCGTCAATCTTGCTGGAAATCATGCATGACACACAAGCACGGAAGTCACTGTAACCCCCAAATAAGATGGTCCGGCATTTGTTGCTAGTGCTCTATAGTCTAGTTTTAATCGATCCAATATGTAAATTGTAGCAATCAAAAATTGAAACACAATCTCAATGAAACACAAAATAGGCCCGATGAAAGAGTAAACACTGAAATAATATCAGAGAAAAACTTGAACACAACCTCTCATTTCAAGCAAAGTTTGTACTTGCAATTTCATAGTCCACAGTGCTCATACCTGTATTCCATTTCAATGTCAAGTATGTTCTCGTCACGATATGGCTGAAATATTGCCGATGTGACGTTAAATATTAACTCACACACTCATACCGTTATTTGCAGTGCAGGTAAACTCTCCATATCCGTCTCCCAAATAGTTTTACACAGGTTCAGTAATCGTCTTCCAAATTTGAAATCACCACTTATAAGACATCAGCATCATAATAACAGAAACTTGATTTAGTCACGATATGGCTGAAATACTGCCGATGTGACTTAAAATCTGAACTCACTCACTCACTCATAATTACAAAAAATGTCAGTTAAGGTGTTTTCCTAACTGCCTGTTGCTTCTCCGTGGTAAATTGGTAATACACATAGTTTACAGATGAGAAATACCTAAAACCAAACATTATAGCTGAATCTAAACTAAATTAATCATGATCTAATGAGAGATATATTGCATCCTTAAAGTAATAGATGCAAGGTAATTTATAAAAGAAAATGTCAACGAAGGACAGTAAAACGACTGGACTGTCACAGATATAAATTTTAAAACTAGTAATTATGTTAACCATATATGACAAGACAATATAAACAGGCTATAGATCGCCAACAACTGAAGTTAGATCACCAAACTAGAGACCGTGGGGACTTACAGTGCCTTTGCTGCCTGCATGGAGCCCAGCTGGATTTACACCAACACTTCAGCTCCCGGCGATTGTAGACAAATTTATCCGAAATATAAAACAACAAACATACTTCGTTTAAAACAAGCAATCAAGACACAATATATTGTGGTTACTTGGTTCAACTGATAGGTGTGTATATGAATTGCTTTCCAAGAAGAAGCTGCACTTAAACATGCCTGTTGCAGGCCAGAAGGTTGTTCGTCACACATCGACAGTTCATTCTCTGATCTACACCTCAAACTGTTCGTTGAACGTTAGGTAACACCTACACATTGCGTATTCACCCAAAACGGCCGCCACCCAATCTCATCAGAGCATATAGTGGAACTAAATTATCTGTGCTTTCTACATGTACAGTGAACGCAGAGCGAGTGGCGTAGTTAGATATACAGGTAAGGAGATCATTTTTACCTGTGTCATTGTAATCATTACAGTAAACGCAAGTAAGTAAAACCTTGATGATTTTCACCGTTGACATCCATGGCCTCGGCATAGCTCACAAAGGTCAGACATGTTGTACTGAACTGTAGCAGCTCACAAGCTGATGTTTAAACTGAAATGCGCATGCGCAAGAACACTGTAAAAAACAGTTGAAGTGAGTCAAATCAGTGTGGATGAGGCTATATGTTTATAGAGGAGAACAAATCTGGGGCGAATGCAGAGTTTTACATTAGTATATAAACCTGAGAGTGAGTGAGTGAGCGAGTAGTTGTGATATATGTTTAAATCTTCTATTTCTTTTTAGTGAAATGTAATCAGTCGGTTGTTCAAAATTAGCTTTAGTTTTTATTTATGTTCTTTTTTATTTGTTCATTTATCTACTTTTAAATTATTTATTTATATTATTTATATAGTTATGAACTTTGCCTGAGCAATAAATCTGAAACTTAGCGGAGCAAAGTCTAATAGCATGTATTCAATGTTGGATATCTTTAGTTATTTCCGTAACGATAGGTTTTTTTACAGAATAATCGTTCTCTGTTCAAGACATTCAGATGGTATATGTACCCACTGCCTGACTTTGCGAGCTTAGCCAAAGGACTGTGCTTGACGCGGTCAGTCATGCCCGACCATATAGAACACCCTTTGCTCTACGAGGCGTCATTGTGTTATCATGTACTTTCCTACGGAAGCGTAGTAGGGCCACGGTGAACGTATTTTTGGGGGTCACTATCTCCTACGTAGGACTTAATATCTCCTACGTAGGACTTAGTATCTCCTACGTAGGACTTACTATCTCCTACGTAGGACATACTATCTCCTACGTAGGACTTAGTATCTCCTACGTAGGACTTTAGTATCACCTACGTAGGACATATTATCTCCTACGTAGGGCATACTATCTCCTACGTTGTACTTAATATATCCTTTTTAAGGATGGTTATTAAGTTGAGAAATTTTTTGGCTAAGCAGGACGTTAGATAGTTGAAATGTGAGTCAGTGAATATTCATGACACTAACGCAGTGTTACTATACAGTGTTATTGTGTGTGTATTACGTTAGGGTGACGTGGACCCTCTTCTAATTGCAGTTATGGAGGTTTGGGTATGGTTATGTTTAATCTATCATACATACATCTATTCACACACACAAACACACACACACACACACAGAGGTGGGTGGGATGGTTTGGGTGAGGTTGTGATATGAAACTCGGGTTATAACACGACCTCCGCAAGTTGTTGTTCGTCTTGATGGGGCTAGGTTGGATTGGATGCAACGCTCGTTTGCGGTTTTATTCGTAATTGTTTACAGGTTGACTTGACTGGGGTGGACAAGTGTTCAGTGCGGCGTAAAACAATACGAAATTCAAAAAGGCAAAGAATTGTCATTATAGTTATTTGTATAAATATAAGGCGATACGTACACATAGATTGCTACCTATAGTCTAAGACACGTCTGTACACGCAGATTATGATTCATGTGCAACGACCTCTGAGATATCCAATGCATAAT